CGAACAGAGCAATCCGATCAGCCAACTCACAGAACTCATGAAAAACATGTCTTTGCATTCTGCTATAAGCATCATGATCCCATATACTCATGCCCACGTATGAACAACACCGCTTCTCCACCCCGAATCCCATGTGACCATAAACAAAGACATGGGGACTCCAACTACCCCAACCACAGCCCAGCCGTCAAACGCCGTGCCTAACCGTCGCCAAAATCCATCAACATTGAAATATGAATAAAAAGTCCTCCGTTCCTTGCTCGGGCCTTGGAACAAAAGGGAAAACCTCCTCAATAACAAAATAAAACAAGGTTGGAAATGAAGTAAAAGAAACCGATTATCCATACAGATCAAAGGAAATGAGGTGCGAGGAAATCACCTGGGTATACCCTCATCAAATGTCGAACGCGTCCGACCGGATATAGGCGCGGGATCCTATGGACGTGTGCTTAGTCGTCCAGCCGATCCTAGCTACTGGTGCCGCTGTTCTCCTCCTTGGCCGGGAGTTGAAGTCCAGCACTCTGCGCGACACGTTTCCACGTTTCCATCTCACGGTAAAGCCTATCGCACTCTTGCTTCAGTTTGTCGTTTGACTGGCTAAGCTCAGCAATCGCCTGTTCTGTCAGAAGCTTTTCGAGAGTCCACTTTTCGATATTTTGTGTCTCGTTTTCCTTGAGCTGCGTGATGAAAGCCACAGCCCGTTGGAGGATCGACCCCTTGTTCTTCTCGCAACCAGGAACAATCTTGGCCAACTCATTGATGCCCTCATTGATTGTCTCGCGGCGACGGCGCTCGACTGAAACGCTTGTTAGTGTCGGTCCTGATTGCTTGCCTTGGAGAGCGGGCTGAATTTACCTTCTTTGTGGTTATCCTTGCGCATCTTGTGCCACTCCTCCGAGCCAACTGCAGGTTTGGTGCTGGGAGCGGGAGTGTAACGCTGATCTGGTTGAACATCATTGGGCGCTTGAACCGGAACCGATGGGGCCATGGTGGGCAAGCCATGGGGTTGATTCACTGCAGAGGCGTTGAACCCATTCTCATCATGATGAGTCTCGGCCTGAGGCTGACTGACAAAAGTCTCTTCAGTAGGCTGAGGCACATGAAGCGAAGGGTACATATTTAGTGCGGCAGCAGCTGTGCTTGAGACGTTGTTGGTGTCTGGCGCGTTCTCTGCATGGTCATTGGCAGTGGCCTGCGCGAGAACATTGAAGTCATCAACGTTGACCTGGTCATGGGCGGCCTGGGCGATGCTGACAGTGTTCTCCAGGAAGGCCTGGGCATCCGAGTCGGCGACAGTCATGGCCGCAGCTGGGGCACCGCGTTTGTTACGTCGGGAGTCTGGAGAGATGGACTCGGTGTTGCGCTTCCGCTTGTGGCCAGGGCTGGTAGCGATCTCAGAAAGATCAGGGTGTTGCTCAATGCCCACAGTTGTCATGGCGTAGTCTAACTGCTGGTTCACAATTTCTGATCAATACTGAGTCAATGATGGTTCAAACCAATCACAAGCCGGCAGCAGCGACCGTGTGATTGGATGCGGCCAAGTGTAAGGAATGATTTGTGAAGGTTAAAATGAAAGAAAATTCTGACAAGGTAAAAAGTATGATCTGAAGAGATGAGCAAGCGCTTGCTTGCGAGGGGACATGCCCTGTAAGCAGAGGACGTTAGGTAGTGATGGACTTCAAGAGAAGGGCTTAGGCATCCGGCTGGCTGTGACGCTCCAAAGTCGGCGAATGGGGCAGTCGCATAGCGTGGCCGTGAGGGCCGTTTATATCTTGACCAGAAGCGATGCCATACAGATAAAGTGAGTTATGTGTGTAAGTGGGCATTGACCAAGTTGCCTCCAGTCGCTTGACTTGACTGATTCGGGCCTGAAGGCGTGCGAAAAAGAACTTGCGACAACAGTAAATGGCGCCATCATCGGACTTCCGTTGCGACGCATATGGTCGGGGATTTGCAGTGGTGGCCGTCGCGGCGAGTTCACATCATGGCGAAAGGATAAACAGGGAGGGCAATCTTTGAGGATGAATTCCTTACCTCTGCACTCGGATTTGCTGGGTTTAGGTCGTAGGTCATGTGAAGGACGAAGAACGTGCCCGAAAACGTGACGAGGACTACGGAACGTCAGCAAGGACCCACGTCTTTGGTGCAAAATAATGCAAAAAAGTCGACGTGCATCAATAAGGAGAAATTCCGAGACCGAGATAGTGAAAACATACCAGTTATCAACAGAATGTTATTTGGGACCTCGTGGTGGTGTTTCTGGTTGGCAAGTTGAACGAGAGACTGAGAGCGAGAAGATCATGTGAGCGGAGGCTGGACGGGAAGGCGGACGCCTGCTGAGCCTTGATCAAGGGTGGGTGGGAAAACGCGGTCCCCTGGCGCGACGCACAGACCAACTCTCATCATGCATGTCAATTTGATCACCCTCCCACCCGCCCACCCACCCACCACCTCCTTCCCTCTATTCCCCGGTCAAGCGCCACTTTCTACTTTTTGCAAAAACAGTTCAAGGTCGGTCGCCCTGCGGAACACAAGACCACCAAACTGCAAGAGAACAACTCGGGATTTTTCCATGGAGGAATGATCACAACAAACAATGCTCGCACTGTCCACACTGCCCACACTGCCCACACTCCACCACCATCACCACCCACCCACCCACCACGCACTCCCCATCCAACAACCCAGGCACGTGTCCCCGAGCCTTGCCCTCACCACACTCACCACCCACACATTGTTCGGCAGATATCCATGGCAATGAAACTCTGTAATCCCATCTTCAAGGCTGGTTGACTGCCTACCTTTTACACTAGACATCTCCGCCCGACCCCACCTCCGCCTTTCCTTTGATAAGGCCTCCTGACAGCTGAAAAGGGAAGCTTGGGGGGGGTAGTGTAGTGAGACAAGCTGAGCACATGATTTCCCCAACTGGAGGGTTGGTACTCTGTCACGAGAGTGAATCTAAAATGGTTCACACCATAAACAGTGAGAAGCGGCCGTATCTCTTCATCACGGTCCGTCCAACGTCAAACAAACACTCGCCGGCAGGTGAGTTGTAACTTGTAATTAATTATTTGCGGAATATCCCATGATGGGCGAACCAACAAATCGGATGACTGCCCCTGTCGCAGTCAAGCAAAGAAAGCACGGCCCAGGTGCGTGGTGGGACGGGAGCGGAGGACCAATCGGTCTTTGATACCTTCCGTTTGATAGAGACGGTTTACAGCGGTATCGCTTAGCCTCCAAGCGTCCATGTTCCCCAACAGCATCTCCAACACTCTAATTCAACCCAAACCGCAATCACTACCTTACTGATTGCCACCCAAACCCTCCCCCCAAGATAGTTTTTTTTATTCAAACAAGCCAGCGCGGCTTTTTGAATGATGGCAGACTTTGGAGCGTCCAAAATAAACCATGATAATCATCTCCTTCTGGTAAGCAAAAGGCAAACGACGTCATCGAATTATTCCCCATCACTGACACGCCGTGTCCATCTCCCCAGGACCAACCTCTACTCCGACTACCGTACGAGCTCCTCCGAAAAAACTTCAGATCCGCACACGTAGCCTACCTTAAAGACTCCAAATATGTCACTACCCTTGTCAAAGAAACAGCCAGCGGCTCCATCAACGGGAAGGTCTCGCCTCAGGATGTCGTCAAGAACCTCGACCTCATGCTCTCCAAAATGCGCGGCCTCAAGCGGAAGCTAGAATCCTACTCGGAAGAAGAGAACCGCCTCTACCAGCAAGCCAACGCACGGGTATCCCACCTCCGCGAGCTCTCGAGCATCAACACAGTCGACGATGTCAAATACGAACAATGGTCCCGAAATCGACTCGACCGGCTGGTAGTCGACTATATGCTCCGACATGGCTATGTCGACTCAGCCTCGGCTCTAGCCAAAGAGCGCGACATGTCGGACCTTGTGGACATCGACACCTTTGTCAACATGTCCAAGATTCGGCAGTCCCTGCTCAACGGCAGCGTCAACGAGGCCCTAACCTGGTGCAACGAGAACAAAAAGGAGCTGCGCGCAATGCAGAGCAACCTTGACTTCATGTTGCGCACGCAACAATACATTGAGATGACGCGGGCCATGACAACGCCCAAAATGCTCGAGGCTATTGCCCATGCCAAGAAATACATATCCCCATTTAACGAAACATACCCGCTTGAGGTTCAGAACATAGCCGGTCTGCTCGCATTCCCGCCCGACACTACCATCGAGCCTTATGCCTCGCTGTACAGCCCAGCAAGGTGGCAAACGCTAGCGGATATCTTTACGGAAGCTCACCTCAAACTGCTTGGGTTGCCCAATATCCCCTTACTACACGTAGCACTCTCTTCCGGTCTATCGGCACTCAAGACGCCAGCGTGCCACAGTCACCAACAAAACCAGACGGATAACCACGGTACTTCTAGTCTGACAACAAGCGTGTGTCCGATTTGCTCGACAGAGCTTAACGCCCTGGCGCGCAACGTACCATATGCGCACCACAGCAAGTCTCATTTGTTGGAACACGACATAGTGCTATTGCCAAACGGCAGAGTCTATGGTAGGAGCAGGCTGGATGAGTACGCAGCTAAGAGCGGGCTACCACCTGGCCAAATGAAGGATTTGGTGACAGGAGAGATGTTCAGTGCGGACAAGCTGAGGAAGGTCTTCATCACTTAAAACTGGCTCGCCGGTCGGGTTACGTTATGTGTGCATATTTCAGGGCGTTTGGATCTTTCTTGTTCGGTGTTGGGTCTCATGGAACGGGTTGGAGTTTGTTTGCTTTGTTTTGTACGCGCAGCACACTCTCGCGAGTAGATACGTTGACCGACATAGGTAATGGGACGGCATGAAGAGTTTGGGCCATCATCCCTCCCATGCTAATCATTAAGCAAGCCGCATCGCCCACCACAACCAGAACCCTCCCAAAGCCACAACCACAACTCGCCAAAGGAGAGAGCACGCCCGATGGGTATATAGATGGGGAATCTGACACCAACCCAGTGTCCTCGTAGCGAAGTGGTTACGCGCCCGGTCAACCCAGCGTTGCATTTCTCTAGCGTAGACTGGGAGACGTCAGTTCAAACCTGACCGAGGGCACATCTTATTGGGTCCCTTTTATTGTGTGGCGTGTTTATTATCATTTCATCCATCCTGGTCGATGATCAATCATTTCCATCAGGGGGCCTTTTTCATTTTCTAGGTCTACTCTTTCAAAGCTCCGCTCAGCATTACTTAATCCAGAGGAAAATAAATAATGATGCATAATAAGAAATGACTGACATCCATCCACTCAATGGCAAAAACAGTTGGTCTTTTTTTTGACACAAGTTTCTTTCTTATGAAAGTTTTATTATATTGGCTAAGAATGATGGATGGATGGAATGATGGTTGAGTTAGGGAAGTGCTGGGAGTCTGGAAACTTGTGATGCTTATTAGATGGAATGAATGAATGAATGAATGAATGAATGAATGAATGAATGAATGAATATATGCATGTACGTATGTGTATGTTGCTTGTCGTAAGGGGAAGGCTGATAATTAATACAGGGCCGATTATCTCACACAAGCACAAGAAGAGAAAAAAGAAAGAAAAAAAAAGGAGAAAAAAGGAGAAAAAAGGAGAAAAAAAAAAAAGAAGAGACGTATATCAATAACAATTGCAAAGGAGTTGAATCGACTGACTACCCCCTTTTTTCGGCTCATTGATCTTGCCCTCCTCTGGTTATTCACTTCGCATGAAGAACTAAGTAAGTAAATTATATATAACTATATATAACTATATAAAAACACAATTTAAGTACACACACAATATGTACAAACGGAGAAGTGTAAAAGTGTAAAAGTGGCAAAAAGGTAGAAGTGAAGACAAAGCAAAGCAATTAAATGTGGCTGCTTTGCCCATCTTTTTTCGCTTTCTTCTCGTCATTTACTAATAAGAACAACAAAACAAACACACAAAACAAACACACAAAACAAACCAAGCCACCCCAGAACCAATCCAGCAACCCACCCACCTACCATTGCCCCCCGCCGAATTCCAAATTTCCCCTTTTCCCTACTCATAAAAAAATGAGAAGAGGAAACAAACAACAAAAATAAAATAAAACCACACACACACATCATTTTCAGATAGAGAAAAAAGAAGAAAAAAGAGAAGAATTCTGTTTTTTGTGCTCATGAACTTTCCCATTTCCATTTCCTTTATCGTCTTGCTTGCCCCCACCCCTCGCTTTCTCTTACACACACTCCCCCACTACTACTAACTTTAATTTTTTCGCTTTCTTCTTCGCTTTTACCACTCTTCCACCCATCGATCCCCTAGTCTCTGGGCCAGAGCACAAACTGGTTTTTACCCATGCCCAGGGTGGAAGAAAACTCCCTAATTGCCCGAAACGCCAAAAGAAAAGCCACCAAAAACACCACCGCCGCCGCCGGGCGTCATGGGTCCCATGCCCCCCACAGCCCCAGGAACACCATTCCTCTGCTGCTGCTGTTGTTGTTGCTGTTGCTGTTGCTGTTGCTGAGTTTGTTGTTGTGATGGGGTGCTAGCCAGACCAACACTATTAGTGTTTGGCGTGCTCGGAGCATTCTGACCATTCTGCGCCTGATTACTCTCGTTGTTGTTGTTATTGTTGTTGTTGTTGTTGCTGTTGGCATTATTATTCGTCGCCGTAATCGTCGAGTTGTTACTGCTGATGTTCGCGCCACTTCCTGGCCCAACAGTAATCGAACTGACCACCGAAAAGTCTGGGATTCCCAAGCCCCAGACTTTGCCCAAGTGATCATCCGAAATCTCTCCGCTGAAGATTCGCTTCCTCAGTTCGAAAAACACACGCCCAGTAAGCAAACTGTCCGAACCGGCTTGGTGCGCGCTCCCAACACGCTTAATCTTGAGAGTCTCCGCAATGTGCTCCAGCCCGGATTTCTGCTCAAACTTTTGCAAAATCTCTGCAATGTTCGGGTCGTTCGTCGAGGTCGAGAGCATCCCGCTGTTGTGCAGTTTAATGGCGTGCTTCATGAGGTGCTTCACATCGTACGTCGATGGGAAGTAGAGCTTCATGAGGTGATCAAATTCAAACTCGTCACTAGGGAGCTGGGCGCACACGAGAAGCTTGGTGAGATATCCAAAGTCGTAACCGCCGTGGAAACTTATCCAGCGGACGTCGTTGAAGCACACCAGACCCGACGGGATCAGCAGGGAGGCGAAATCGTGGGGATCGATGCCGTCCCGCTCCAGCAAGTCAAAGTCGATACCCGCCTGCTGGAGGGATGCGATCGATGTTTGGTTGTACATGTCTTCCTTGAGGGAGAACTTGAAATTGAACTGCCATGCGTAAGGGAAGGGCGCCTGGTTGTTGTTGCCGCCTGCTCTTCGTAGATCGGTCGAGTCGGTCGAGGTCGGTCGCGCGGGTGGCTGCTCGCCTTCTTCGTTGAACAGGGCAATGCCGATTTGTATAACTCTCAGCATGTCGACGTTGGTTCGGAGACATTGGTAATGGTAATCCGACTTTCCCCTGAACCCGCCCATTGGCCTTGATACAACACCGGGGAATTCAGTATCCTGCAAAAGAAAGAAAAAAAGACAGTTAGCTTCCCTCTCTATCCTTCACGTCCGTTCAACGCAAAAGGGTTATTTAAACAAAAGGACAACCCCACCATAGCAATGTATGGGTACTTTTCGATCAAGTCCCGCAGGTTTGCCATCTCCTCGTGCAGATTGTGCTTGTAGACCTCTCGTATCCGACCCTGTTTCTGCGCAGTCCGTGCCGCGTGCTCCAGGACATGACTTGGCTGCTGCGCATGCTGAATGTGCTGCGCGGCCACCTGTGCATGTTGTGCGTGCTGTTGTGCTGCTTGCTGTTGTTGCTGTTGAAGTGTCTGCTGCTGCTGCTGCTGCTGCTGCTGAGACTGCTGCTGCTGTTGCTGCATCCCTCCGTGAGCGAACCCCATCCGGGCAGCATGGCTCGCAAGACCCGAGTCGGCATTGAACCCCCCACCCACACCAGGATTTAACCCTTGAGGCAGGCCTAATAGGCCACTGCTTCCCGAGAAGGGGTTGTTGACTTGGGCGTTCACCTGGTTAAGATATGCCGAATTGCCACCCAGTTGCGGTGGGTGGCTCGTCGTGTGCTGGCCATGGGATGGAAACTGGTGATAGGGGGGGAGGGGGTTGGGCCCGCTGGGGAATCGGGAGAGCGGCGGAGGCATCGCGTGGCCGGGCCTTTGTCCTCGCCACTTTCGGAAGTCCAGATGGGAACCTATCGCCAATGTGGTGTTCTGGGGAGGAGGAAAGGCGTGTAGTAGTCGTCGAGTTCGGGTCTAAAATGCGCCACCATTCGTCCAAGTCGAAAACCTTGGGAGGAGTAGGTACGTAGGGCGTCGCGCGGGAGAGCTATCAACCGGGGGTTTGGGTTGGTAGTTTGCTACTTTCGCTGGGTGTCAATTTTCCTTGGTGTGCGCCGAAGGTGAGGAGGGGAATGCGGGCGCTCCTTGGGTTGGTTGGTTTGGGTCCCTCAAAGTGTCTGTTTCGATTAATTGGATACCCGGATTTGCTGTGTGGGATTGTACCAAATGCCTGCAAGAAAGAAAAAAAAGATTTGTTGTTGCAGTCGAATGATTTAAGCTTTTTTTTTTTCGCGGGGATTTCAGCCTTTTGGTTGTTGTCGGACACAAGAAGGAGCGTTTGTTACGTTCTTGGAAGGAAGGTTGGAGATGGGACAAGTGCTGCACCACTCACGACACAACACCCAACACAAGGCCGCATTCGCACGGACCCTCTTTTTCCAGTTCATACAGGTAACCCTTGGGGAACCTTGAAACACACAGCCAACCCTGGCCACTTTTGGCCTGACTAAGCCTGCGGGGCACCTCCATCATCAGCTATCACGACCTGGGAAGTGAGCTCCATCTACAGAAGACCTCCAGGTAGCTGCCGACAAGAGCAATTGCCAACCAACCAAAACCCACCCACAATGCAGCCCTCCAGGTATTTCTCTCTCCTACTCCCCCCTCAACATATCCGTCTACCCAATTGATTAATTAATTCCCCCTCCGCAGAATACTACGAGCCGCCCACGGCGAGAAGCCCAACATCACGGGCTTCGACATGCGCAAGTTCCTCAAAGCGACCGGAACCCCTCGCTACGATCCCTGGGAGAGAAAGTCCGTTCTTATTATCCTTTCACCCATGCAACACGAAGCAAGGAAAACTAACCCCCCATAACAGCGAGGCATGGCGCTATGCAGGCCGCTTCAGCAGGTTCAACAGATTCAAGAACTCCCTCCCCGGCTTCGGGATCGCCACGGTCGCTTTTGCCGGATACTGCCTGTACGAGCACTTTTTCGTCAAGGAGGAGGAGCATGGACACCACGGCGTGGCGGCTCACTAAAGGAAGGGGCAAAACTGGGTGGTGGAACGTGGAAGGGACGGGATGTGTGTGTATATAAAGAGATGGACGGGTCAGTTGGAACCCAAAGCGTGCATAGGCGCGCGTGTTATTCAAACTAAATTATGGAAGAAAATCATAATGTGTTCCGTTCCTGGTTTGCGTGCCAGTGTCTTGAGAGGTTGGACTCGGCGGTATAGAGAGTTGGGAGCAAGCGTGGGAGTGTGGAACTGGGTCAGTTGGCGCAGGAATATGGGGAGCCGTCAAGATGAATTGCGGATATATTACCGCTTGGGGAGTGCTCAGAATAATGGACAGCCAGGGAAGGTTCAAGAGGGATGATTGGGCTTTTTGAAGTCAACTAAACAACACGCCTTCAGATACAAGCAGCACAACAGCTACCTAGGTAATAGGTGTATCAAAGCGGCAATTATCCTCCCTAGAGACCTCCAATGCTGTCCTCCCCTAACCCCAATCCCATGCAAAACAAATAAAGCCAAAAAAAAAAAAAAAGCCCCGATCAATTCTAAATGCATCCTCCCAAAACAGAGTAAACCTATATGAAATCCCATATATGCCTCCCTCTAATTCAATAATATCCCGAACCACCCAAACGCCACAAGATTCTTAGGGGGGCACTATGACAAAAGCTCACAACACCTTACTACGCAACAGCCAACATAATATATACTCTCACAACCCAATCCCCCT